GTAGTTTTATTCTCATAAAACCGTTCTCTTTGTATCAATGTTTTGTATTTGTATTCATTTATGAAAACTTGTAACTGAGAGTGTGCCTGGCTCCACCAGCTGTTATTGAAAACTGTATTGAACCATTGTAGTTTGTATTCTGTAAACTGGTACTTTGAAGGTGTACTTTCGTTTAGTTGTTTATACATTAACGTATTGTTAATATCTTTTTAATGAGCTATTATAACCATACTATGACGGATGGCCTGAAACAAACGCTTTGTGGGCGTTTAAACTGTTGATAACAATTTCCACTCATTGGCGTGTATGCCTGACTGTAGCTAACAGCCTGAGTGCGGGGTTGTCAATCCTGATATAGATCTACACACAACTTGTTTCGATCCCCGAGCTGGAGATTCTGGTTATAATGTCAGGACTTTACCTTGGTTGTCTAAAATGAATTAAACAACCTGAATTGAATGTCTCATAAAAAGCATATAAACGTTACATGTATATTAGTCATGAAAACCCAATCATTCTGAAATAAATGATTGACAGTATGTTCTTGAATTAGTATTCCGAACATGTATTTGATAAGTGTAAACCCTTGGTTTATTCTGAATCAAAACCCTTGTTTCTTGTAAAACAGTGTATTCTAGTATACTTGAATCATGAATTATTGTTCTATGTATCATAAATTATACCTATTATAATTTATATGTACTTTCTGAATCGGTATTTAACTATGTTTTCATGTAATCCCTTGCTCAACATGTTACAAAGGTATTTGGAACTGATGAAATAACTTTTATATTTATATACATACACAAATTTATATATAAGTAAAATTTAAACGACACTCGGACAAATAATCGGTACTATAAGCCCACATCCAAACAAGGAAAAGGACCCAGAATGAGTTATCAGTCCTAAGCCTTTTAAATCTTATTTATATACATACATATATACAAATATGAATTTTGGGGAAAAATATAAGTTTATAAAAGAGTTTGATGTTTTGGGTATTTTTGATGATTTAATGTCGTTTTATCATGATTTGAAATCATGATTTCATAACACAAAGTTCTTGTGTTATGCTTGTATTCCCCCCTTAAAACAGTAGAAATTATGAAAATACGGGGGTATGAACTCACATGATAGGTGGTGATTCAGACAGCATTTTGTTTCCCGGAAAGGAGGCTGCTTCGGACAGGTGGCTCGCAGGTGGTGGCTTCGGACTGGACCGGACTTCGGTCAGTTCACTATAAACGGAGCTCTGATACCAACCTGTCACACCCCCGAACCAGACGGCGGAAACGTCCGAGGGCTCGTGTGACTTAAATTGAAATATCATCACAATGAATATACATGTAACATAACATAAACATCACCACGCATTAATACATTACAACCGTCATTGTTCACATCCAGTAGATTGTTTACATTACATAATCCCAAAAATAAATTGTTTATGAAATGACAGTACACAAAAGACATTCAGACACATGCTTGATAATTCTTCATTCTAACGGTTACCTGAGAACACAAGTTATTTTGAAAACGGTCAACATATATAATTTTGGTGAGTTCATAAGCAGGTTTGATATGAGAATGTTTTGTATTGCTTGTAAAACCCAGAAAATCCGATATTTTCTAAAACAGAAATTGTTTACGAAAAGGTGTGATGATCCATAAGTATATGCGTGAATGATTTCAAAGCATGTGAATGTGTCATTTTTGCAAAAATAATCAAAGTTTGGGTAAAATATGTAATTTTCGGTGTTATAAAGACAAAATGGTATTATTTACATAGAAATCTAACTTTTATGAAAATAACACTTTTCTAGGGGTCAAAAACATAAATTTTAGCTTATTGGGCTTTAATTTGGGCCTCACGAGTTTTTGGGCCCAAAGTTGCGAAAAAATGAAATGTTGAGGGGTTGAATTGGAAAACTTAACAAACGATGAGTCTAAAACATGAATAAACTATTTTTAAGGGCTGAAAATGACTTTGATGCAAAAATTGGACTAAAAATGCAAAGTTTTTGATTTTGGGGTCAAAATTGTAAAACTTACGGAATTTAAGCCAAAAGTGTAAACTTTTAACAATTAAGGGCTGGAAATGACAAATACAATATTTTTGGGCTGAAATTATTATTTAAATAAAGTTTGGGTCTAAAATGTCAAGAAAAACGGTTTAAGGACCAAAAATGTCAATTTTCATAAAAGGGGACTAAAAGTGCCATTTTTATAGATTAAGGGGCTGAAATGGTCAAACTAAATGTTTTTGGGCCAAGTAGACAAATATTAAATGATTGGGCTAAAAATATTAAGTTTATAACGCATGGTTTTAGAAATATAAATATATATATATATATATATATATATATATATATATATATATATATATATATATATATATATATATATATATATATACACGCACGTATAACCAAGCTTCGTTATAAATCAAACGTCAAAAAATTTTAATACTTCGAATAAACATCTCACTTACAACAAACAACTACATTACGAACTTAAGATCAATAAATTATAAATGATTCAATGGTTGGGCTCAAATATCTTCTATTCGTGCTATTAGGCCTTTATGGCCCAATATCCTGATTATTGGACCCAATATAATCACACACGTTTATTGGGCTTTCGGTGACCCAATTACATACCCACTAGGCCTTTACTAGCTTTAACATACTATTGGACCTTAATGGTCCACTTGTATTGCTAATAAGACCTTAAACCTTTATAATATTCTTAATGGGCTATAACGTGTCCGTAGCATACTCGACAGCCTGTAATAACATACAAAGTTAGTGGGCCTCCGTAGTCCTCTTCTCTTCGTCTGTTAGGCTTACCTTTATTCAAGTAAACATAAATCGGGTCGTGGAACAATGTTATACAATTTCTTTTGGATTTAGTGAGTAATAACGGGCGACACCAATAAGTGTCGGTCGTAGTCTGTAGTTATAATCAAAGTCTCCTAGAGGGAGAGTGAGAGTTTGTGAATAGATCTATACGGGGGTGACTCCCCTACACCTAAGTTGTTCGCTACAGTTAGACTCGACCAGTCTAGGGTGACACAATCTTAATTCAATACCGGCTTTCACTTGAATGCCAAGACAGAAGAAATAGTCATTATTATGCATGGTTATAACGACTCACATAGAGATCCTATACCATCTAAGTAATCATTGGAAATCATATTCATTCGTTGTGACGATACAATAATACAAAACGATTATACTATTTATATCGGAAAACATCGGGTTTTCCGGGGAAACAACATCATTCACTTTTACTTTCGATAACTATAATACAAGAATTCATTATGGGAAACATACTACATTCACATGCTTTGAAATCATTCACGCATATACTTATGGATCATCACACCTTTTTCGTAAACAATTTATGTTTCAGAAAATATCGGATTTTCTGGGTTTTACAAGCAATACAAAACATTCTCATATCAAACCTGCTTATGAACTCACCAACATTATATATGTTGACCGTTTTCAAAATAACTTGTGTTCTCAGGTAACCGTTAGAATGAAGAATTATCAAGCATGTGTCTGAATGTCTTTTGTGTGATGCCATTTGATAAACAATTTATTTTTGGGATTATGTAATGTAAACAATGTACTGGATGTGAACAATGACGGTTGTAATGTATTAATGCATGGTGATGTTTATGTTATGTTACATGTATATTCATTGTGATGATATTTCAATTTAAGTCACACGAGCCCTCAGACGTTTCCGCCGTCTGGTTCGGGGGTGTGACAGGTTGGTATCAGAGCTCTGTTTATAGTGAACTGGCATATCTAACCACACATTGATATGCAAGTATAAACCCAAAGAGGGACTAAATAACTCTGAACAAAACAAATAAAACATAATAATAAACACTCTTAGTTGTGCGACTTAGAAAAATAAACATAATAACAATTCAAATAAGACATTGGGAAAAATCCTGACATCTCGGTTAGGCCAGGACTGTTCACGGTTGTATTAGAAATGAATGTAGCCTGACAATACTAGAAAAACAGCCTTTTACGACGCGCAATGCGTGTGGTAAAACGCTCAGACGACGCGCAAATACGTGTCAAGAAAGGCCCTCTCATAACAAGAGACGACACGCTTTTGCGCGTCGTCTATAGACGATGCGCGTTTACGACGCACATTTATGACACGCAATGCGTATCATTAAAGCCACTGTCAAGAAAGGCCATGTCATAAATGAAGATGACACACATTTTTGCATATCGTAATTTTTATTTTTATTTTTTAAAAAAAATTATTTATAGATTTACTAATTTTCAAATTAAATTTGCATTTCATGTTTCATAATAGAAAATAAAATACCATATACAAAAAATACAATCCATTGCACAAAAGTTAATGTCATACAATAATCATTCCAATAGTAGACAAATATTTGTACATTATTATTAAGAGTTTTCCCTAACTATATAACCTAGTACTACATTGCTATTTCCTTAGTTTGTGTACATTGTTGTAAGCAAGTGTGTATTGAAGCACCTTCCATGCAGTAGTACCCCCTTGACCAATGCTAGTATCAGAACATAAAGCACCTTTCTGCACAAAAAACAACAATCAGTCAACAAAGAGTCAACATTCTTTAAAATACTATATGAACCTTCTCAAGTTATGCACATGGACCAAGAATACACTGAATTACAATTTACAATTTACAACAAAAACAAGAACTAATTGAGTGAACCTAGAAGAATAAATTGCTAGGTCAACTTAGCTAAGTATTGAATCCATATGTAATGAATACAATCACAAATGCAAGTGATTAATGTCATTAATGGCATAATTTGTTGCCCTTGTCTTATCTTTATTAGCACCATATATCTCATCTCATTTCACCTCCAAAATCAACAAATTCAAATATCCATGATTTGGACCTAAGAACATGGGAATACAAAGATAAAAATAATATTTAATAACATTGTCCCTAATATAAACACTAAGAGATGGTGATAGAAGAGAGCGAAAAACGTTATCATATCTCACGAGGGATGGCTTTCTTCCAACATGTCTTTGTTGTTCAACTTGTAACTTATTCGTATGCGCATAATGATTTCTTTCTGCCATAACAAACAACATTCATCATGTAAACGATACTTTTTTAAAAAAAAACTCACAAACATTTCATTCCATGATGATTTATTTATAGTTACCTTACCATGTTGGGTGTTGGTAACTCGTAATTTTTGTGTTATTGAGCCGCTACCATTTGCAGGAAGTGAGTTACTGCTAGCAGGTTCCAAATGCAACTGAAGAATTTAAAAAAAAAAATTGACCAAAATTTAGTATAAAATTATAAATAAATAAACATACTAGGTGGTGGAGGGGTAGCACCAAATCTGTCTAATAAATCCATCATAGGTGAAGGTGATGAAAGGATGCTTAATGGAGTAATTGAAGTTTTAATATTATTATTATTATCTTGATTTATTGATAATATATCATCATGTGGTGTACATGAACCATTTTGATGAGTAGCTGAATAAACATACCTCTGGGTTTCGGGTTTCAGGTCAAATTAAAAAGACTTCACCAACCCGTGACCCAACAATAGTCAAATTAAGTCGTTGACAAATCTCCATGTATATTACACTAAGTAAAATCGCTGCCAAAAGGGTAGTTTATATATATAAGTAGTTGGTGGATCATTGAATGCAACCCTTGAAAGACCAAAGTCACAGATCTTGAGTTTGCAATCCGTATTGGCCAAAATATTTTTGGGTTTTAGATATCTGTGAAAGACATTTGCTGCAAAAGAAGTAATTCACAATCAGAATACACAAAAATATAACAAGGCATGATTACTTCAAACAATTAAACAAATACTCATATCATCAGAGGATAACACTGTACGACCTGAGTGTATGTATTTCAGTCCTATGTGCATGCATAGGCTTCTTTCGACTCATAGATATCGAAATCGAATAAGAAACTACATTTATGCAAATGCTTCTCTCAAAATTACTCACTAGATTCAAGGAAACTGTTAGGTTTTGATTTTGTAGCCAAAAGGATTATGGTTTTGATAAAGAATATTCGCTCAATAATCTTTTTTCAGAATGTATCTTTCCTAAAGATTCACCACTCCCATTCTAATTTGATGTCTCTATTACCTTTTCTGGTCAAATGAGTCACTTTTAGTGACTAAACTCTACACACGTGTTAAATTTCTCCAGAAAACTTCTAGATAGCCTGGTTTCAACATGAAAATTGGCAATTTCGGATTGTAAATTTGCTTTGCTTGCTTGCAAAAGTTAAAAGACATACATCAGAAACTAAGACAACAGTTGTAATTTTGAGTAACTTTTACATGTTTCTATGTGAACAAGGGTGCATTCCATTAAATTAGTGGTATTTCATCTGAATCTTGATAAAACTTCATACAATTATCATAAAAGGTAATGATTTGGTTGTACTTAATTATGTAGTTGAACAAACTGTACAATGTTAAGGGGCACTACTTTTCAAGTAATGCAGTGGATAGTCAACAAGCTGGTGGCACTATAGATGTACCTTTAGCACAAACTGGTGAAGGTATTGCAGAATGTGAACTCCTCAAATGGTTTGTCCAGGATGTCAGTGATTTGATTTGGTCTTACAATAAATACATCTTCCTTTCCTTTAATTGAATCATTCCAACTAAACTTGTTTTTTCAGGGAGACCATGTTGAAGAATATCAACCTCTTTGTGAAGTTCAAAGTGATAAAGCAACTATAGAAATAACAAGCCGCTATAAAGAGAAAGTTTCCAAGATTCTGCATGCTCCTGGTGACCATATAAAGGTAAAACACCAGTAGTAGTATTAACAATTTCCATATATATGGTAAAGTAATTTTGATTTGACTTTGATTTCAGGTTGGAGAAACTCTATTACACTTGGTGGTTGATGATTCTGCTGTTCCATTTAATGATTATGATGCATCAGTAGTTTCTGATGGATCAAAGTCTGATGAACACAAGCTAGAGCTCAGAAAGAGTCATGCAAATGACAATTTATCCACCCCTGCTGTTAGAAGTCTTGCAAAGCAACATGGTATTGATTTAGCTGATGTCACTGGAAGTGGTAAACATGGAAGAATATTGAAAGAAGATGTTCTAAAATATGGTGTAGAAAAAGGAATTGTTGATGACAAACCTGCTTTTAATCCTACTTCTATCGAAACCATGTCTGGACCTGAAGAACAACTTCAAGAGATGGCTAGAGCTCAGAAAGAGTCATGCAAATGACAAGAGATGGCTGAATCACTTTATCATGATAAGATATTCTCTCTAAGGTTTATTATTATTATATTAACAATAAACAATTTCATGAATTTGATTGAAGTAAGCATGTTATTAAAGTTGTCAAGTTCTTTGTTGCTAGGGCTTATCAGCGTGCAATGGTTAAGTCAATGACTGCAGCTGCTAGTGTTCCTCATTTTCTTTATGTGGAAGAAATAAATTTTGATGGGCTTATGAAACTTAAATCAGCTTTCCAGAAAGAGAATACTGATCCAGATATTAAATTCACATTCCTCCCGTGTTAATAAAGTCATTATCCATGACATTGACCACACATCCATTAGTCAACAGCACCTTCAACTTGAAAAATTATGAAGTCACTCTAAAAGGTCTGTATATTCTCCCATTTCACATGTTCTTTTTAGCTTTTATTTTTCAATTGATTAATCTGTCAAGTGGTTTGTTTATTTGTTAATAGGCTCTCACAACATTGGAATTGCCATGGCCACACCTTCTGGACTAGTTGTACCAAACATCAAGAATGTTCAATCTCTTTCCATATTGGAGGTTAGAAAAATCTACACAATTAAGCAAAAATGAAATTATTGTTATTTTTTATATCAGTTAACTGAATATATTATATGATATTATATTTATTTTGTAGATAACTAAGGAACTATCGCGTCAAATAAAGTTAGCAATGGCAAAAAACAGAAACAAATTGTCTTAACTTACAGATCATTAAGGTAAATGTGCCCTAGAAGATGAACGACATACAACCATTCGTCTTGAAATGCAACGCCTTGTGAAGAAATCTACATGAAAAAAGGAAAAAGAAAGTAACAATAAGATTGAAATCAAGCCAGCAGATAGAAAATTAAGGTTTCAAATCTTAACCCAACACATAGTCAGTCGTAGTAGTAAGCAACGATTAGCGCACAACGATCATTACACAGATTCATATGGATGTTACCTGAAGCATAAGTTGATCGCAGATATCAGCGACTTTTTCGTACGATCTTGATGCCATTGCGTCTGTGAGTTGAGAGAAATCCAATGAAAAACATATATGAAAGGGGGAATTAAGATGAATAGAATTGAATAGCCAACAAGTACCTTATCCATGTAGTTATTGATTAGAGTTCGTTGAACTGGTAGCTTCGATTGCCAGTTGATGAGTCGTAGTTGTCGATCGACACTATAATCGAGAGGAGTTGCAGTTGTCGAACCAGTTAGTGTGAGGATCGATGTGGAAGAAATTGGACTACAGATCTGATTGCTTCACCTTTGCGATTTCATAGATGTTTTTTAGGGTTGTCGTAGTTGTCGATCGACGCTACAATCGAGGGCTTCCGATTTGTATTTCAAGGTGCAAGAGTTGACTTTGTATTGACCTACTACCGGTGGTCCAGGTATTCCTCCGCCAACTGGGATGGCGAGACGGACTGTCGCCGCCACAGGCCAACGGCTCGACGCATTAGACTTTCCTTCAGGGACGCCATTTGACTAAAATCCAAAGGTGAACAAAAAAATTGGAACAGTAATATGAAAAAACCCTAAATCCTTAATTACAAGAGTAAGAAATTAAAGGAGAATGATAAGAGAGTGATGTATGTGCTTGTTCTAGAGTGTGAACGAATCAAAAAATCAATGGCATAACTGGTGGAAACAAGGGAGAAGAGAATGAGCAGGGTTTTTGATTTTTGGGATTTCATTTCCCTCCTTAGGTATACCGAGATGCAGACGCGCCTTTCATTAAAATATTATAAAACGACAGACCAAGACGACACACTATTTATAAAAGGTGCCCTCCGTGTTTGTTTTTTTTTACGCAAATTATAGGGCACGCAAAAAATGCGTGTCCTCTGATCTTGAATTTTAGGAAAAGCTGACATTATTTTTAGGGCACATAAAAATGCGTATCGTAAATCACTGCGTGTCATTATTCGCGCGTCATTAAAGGGTTGTTTTCTAGTAGTGTGATCAACTACATTTCCTTCAGAATACAACTATCGCATGCCCTGGAGCGATCGCGATGGTCAATAAACCTAAGGCATACCCTTTTGTTAACCAAGAGGAGAACATCAAACCAATTTCAATAAAAATATTTTAGGATTAAAAATGGTTTAATTATATACCCTCTTGCAGACAGTATGGCTGGTTTCTATCATCCTGGAGATCCGTATTTCCCTAATCAGGGGAATAACGGATGGCTTGAGGAGGAGCCTGAGGAGGAAACTGATGACGAGCCTAAGGAGGAACCCGAGGAGGAACAAGAGGTTGGGATCGAAGACGGACCTGCAGAGCCTGTGGCCGACTCTGGAGGGGAAACTGAAAGCAAGAAGGAGAGTGACAACAAGAAAGGAAAGAATAACAAGAGGAAGGGACGACAAGGCTCAGAGTCGTCAAAGAAACAACAAACAGTAACAGTTCATGCTGCAACCACCCAAGTTCCCTCCACACCACATGCTCCAGCCTCATCCACCCCAAGTGCCCCCAAGCAGTATTCCGGAAATCTCCCAAAGTGCAACAAGTGCAATCTCCATCACAATGGTGAATGCAAGGAGATGCAATGTACCAGTTGCAACCGAAAGGGTCACACGGCAAAATACTGTAGGACCTATCCTCCCCGGAACCAGCAACAAGGAAACAACAACTACAACCGCAACAACAACAACAACACCAACAACAACAACGGCAACAACGCTGGGGCTAGCCACACCTGTTATGGATGTGGAAGGACTGGGCATTTCTGTCAAAACTGCCCCAATGTCAACGACCAAGGGAATTGAGGAGTAGGGAGAGTGCTGACCATGGGTCAAGGAGAAGCGGTTCAGGATCTCGCTGTTGTCACTGGTACGTTTCTCCTTAACAACTCACATACATGCATCCTTTTTGATACCGGGGCAGAGCGGAGTTTTGTGAGTAATAAGTTCAAACATTTGCTAAGACAACAACCCCGGAAGCTTAATGAAACCTTTACGGTGGAAATGGCTAATGGGAAAACATAATCAACTCGGGAAATCTACGTAGGATGTACCCTAACCTTAAATCACCACACATGTCAAATAAACTTGATGCCTGTAACTATTAGGAGTTTTTATGTGATTATCGGCATGGATTGGTTGAGCCCCCATCATGCCGAAATTATGTGTCGCGAGAAGGCTGTTCGCCTTCATCTCCCAAACCACGAAACCCTAATTATATACGGAGACAAACCCAGTACGAACCTTCGTCTTATCTTATGTATTAAGGCACAGAAGTGTCTACAAAAGAAGGACTTTGCATTTATGGCTCACATCGTGGATAAATCCAAGGAAGAGATCAATATTCGAGGCATCCCGGTGGCTTGCGATTTCCCTGACATCTTTCCTGAAGATCTTCCGGGGATACCCCCAAAAAGACAAGTCGAGTTCCGAATCGACCTTTTGCCAAGAGCTACACCCATTGCCAAATCGCCCTATAGGTTGGCTCCTGTGGATATGCAAGAACTGTCAAGCCAACTCAGCGAACTCTTGAGCAAAGGATTCATCCGACCTAGCTTCTCAATCTGGGGAGCTCCGGTCCTTTTTGTTAAGAAGAAGGACGGATCCTTTAGGATGTGTATCGATTATAGAGAACTGAATAAGCTCACTATCAAAAATCGCTACCCACTTCCACGAATCGACGATCTATTCGACCAGCTTCAAGGAGCAAGTTACTTCTCTAAGATAGATCTGCGATCCGGCTACCACCAACTCAAGGTCCCGGAAGAGGATATCCCCAAGATCGCTTTCCGAACTCGCTATGGACATTATGAATTTGTTGTAATGCCCTTCGGTCTAACGAATGCCCCTTCCACATTTATGAACCTGATGAATCGAGTTTGCCGACCATTCCTCGACAACTTTGTCATCGTCTTCATCGATGATATTCTAGTCTATTCTCGAAGCGAAGAGGAACATAGTCGACATCTCCGACAAATCCTGGAAACCATGCTAGTGAAAAGTTGTACCAAAAACTCTCTAAGTGTGAGTTCTGGCTCCGTAGTGTAAACTTTTTAGGGCATGTTGTTAGCCAAGAAGGGATACATGTGGACCCTTCTAAGATCAAAGCCATTGAAGGATGGGCAGTCCCAACGACACCCACATAAATTCGTCAATTTCTGGGTCTCGCAGGCTATTATAGAAGATTCATTCAGAACTTCTCCAGAACAACCAAGCCACTTACCATGCTTACACAAAAAGGCGTACCATTTGAATGGACAGAAAAGCAGAAGGTTGCCTTCCAAACTCTGAAACGAGTTCTCTGTAGTGCGCCAGTACTATCATTACCAGAGGGAACTGAGGACTTCGTAGTTTACTGCAATGCTTCGAATCAGGGTTTAGGCTGTGTACTCATGCAGCGTTGGAAGGTGATAGCTTATGCATCCCGGCAACTAAAGACACATGAGGTGAATTATACCACCCATGATCTCGAATTGGGAGCTGTGGTCTTTTCCTTGAAGATTTGGAGGCACTACCTTTATGGTACAAAGTGCACCATTTTCACTGACCACAAGAGCCTCCAACACATTTTAAATCAAAAGGAGTTAAACATGAGGCAGCGAAGATGGGTTGAGCTGCTAAACGATTATGAGTGCGAAATCAAGTAGCACCCAGGCAAGGCTAACATGGTAGTTGATGCCTTGAGTGGGAAAGAATACTCAAATCGTCGTGTGAAAACTCTTTCAATAACCATTCAATCCCACCTGTTCTCGCAAATCAAAGAAGCCCAGTCTGATGCCATGAAGACAGAAAACAGAACCAGCAAAGCGTTACGTGGAATGGAAAAGAACTTCGAAGTCAAGGAGGAAGGAGCATATTATTTCATGAACTGAATTTGGGTCCCTAAAATTGGGGGATTCAGATAGGTAGTCATGAATGAGGCTCATAAGACACGATACTCCATCCATCCGGGTTCAGATAAGATGTACCTGGATATTAAGCAAAATTATTGGTGGCCTAACATGAAGGCAGAGATTGCCACTTACGTTAGCAAGTGCCTCACTTGTGATAAAGTGAAGGTAGAGTATCAAAAGCCCTCGGGACTATTACAACAGCCGGTAATACCCGAGTGGAAATGGGAAAGGATTACCATGGACTTTGTGACCAAATTACCCAAGACAATTGATGGAATGGATGCCATATGGGTAATAGTTGATAGGTTGACAAAATCCGCCAATTTCCTGCCAATAAAGGAGACATACAAGATGGAGCGACTGACAAGAATCTACATCAAGGAAATTATGAGACTCCATGGAGTGCCAATATCTATCATCTCAGATCAGGATAGTAGGTTCACTTCACGCTTTTGGCAAACACTTCAAAAGGCTATGGGAACACAACTCGACATGAGCACTGCTTACCACCCACAAACGGATGGTCAAAGTGAGCGAACCATTCAAACGCTTGAGGATATGCTTCGAGCATGTGTGATAGACTTCGGAAGGTCGTGGGATACCCAATTACCTTTAATTGAGTTTTCATACAACAACAGTTATCACACAAGCATCAAAGTCGCTCCTTTCGAAGCATTATATGGTCGTAAATGTAGATCACCGGTGTGTTGGGCTGAGGTAGGCGACACTCAGCTAGCAAGAGGACAGACGCCAAACAATGCATTAACAGGACCGGAAATCATACGCGAAACGAAAGAGAAGATAGTTCAAATCAGAGCTCGACTTCAAGCATCACGAGACCGACAAAAGAG